TCTGACGGTAACCTCACTCTTGCAAATTACTACAGTGTATCAAACAGTGTTAGAAGCTGAACTGTTAAAAACATAAAAAAAAACCTCATACATGTTTTTTCTTCTATGTTTGTGAGGTCACCAAGTGACTGTGAATGCATGCATGATGGTCACAAGGAGAATGTCATGGCTGACTACTGTAGTGAGGGACAGTCAGCTGGCTCTCTTACTTTGTGCTGAGGTATTTTCCTGGCATGGTTCAGGTCCACTTGTCTCCTCAGAGGGGAGGTCACTGCAAATCAATACAACCATGTTCTGAGCTATCACCTTTGTCTTTTGATGAACCATTTCTGTCTTGATGAGTCTGATCTCTTTCAGGATTGCTTGATAAGTATGAAAATGACAAATTAATCAATGCATTGGTTTTATAATAAACAAATCTCACTTCAGCTGAACAGCTGTGGGATGTTGTGGACTAATGTTTTAATCCTTTCTGCTGTTAACCACAGCCACTGATGGTGGCTGATATCAGAGCAGCACATAAAATAATTGACTCTCAGTCTTATTGCATTAAAATGTATCTCCATCACAATGTCTGTTATCTTCACAAGGGAACAACTCTCTGAATGCAGAGAACTAAATAAAGATGAAAAACAAACATTGAGCCCTGATTTAAGACAATACTAAAACAGATTTGCTGGCATGAAATGGCAGATAAGAAGGCAGTGATATTCATGTCATCTTTATATATAAAATATCTTTTCTTGCTGGGTCCCCTGAGATGATTCTGACTGGAAAGAATCCAGGTTTATTCAATCTTCATATTTCTGAGTATGACAGGATGCTGAGTGCCCCCTCTCTCTCTATGTCACTCCCTACTTCTCTTTGAAAACACATCATATCTTCTCTTTCTTCCTGTCTCTTCCACTCCATGTATCTGGTTTTTGCTGTCCATAACTGTCAAAACTCAAGCAGTGTAGCACTCTCCTCTCCTCTCTTCCTCTCTCTTCCCCCCTCCTCCTTTCTCCTCCTCTCTCCTCTCCTCTCCTCTCAACAAAAGACAGGGACAGAGAAAACTGATTACATCACAGCCTTCACTGTTTCTAAATAATCCAGCCAAATACCAGTCTCAGTCAAACAACAGGCTGGAAGAACAGTTTCAGTCAATAATCTCATTTATCTGCTCATCCAATAGGGAGACAAATTAACTCTACATTGGATCATGTTAGCTGTCAGACTTTTAATGAATGAAAAATATGAAAACCTTTTACCAAACCAGCATGAGTGTCATTCACCTGCTCCCCTTTCTTGTCAGTAAAACTGATTGCTTTTAGTAATAGTGCACGCTACAGCTAGAGAACATCTCACCAGTCCTCATTACTTTGAGTTTAGTGTTATTATATGTACTCTGCATGTCTTTATCATACAACTCAACTATTACTGCTTAAGGAGAGGAGTAGAAAGGGTCTTTTTTCTTTACATTGTAATTAGTCTAATCAATCATTTCCAATATGATTGACTCACAATGCACACACACTATGCCATGTTTGTCACTGTAGTATTCAAAGCACAAAATCTGCCATCTTTTCCCTTTGAACAGAACCGGCCCTAGACTAATTACCGCATTGTCCTTATTCAAAGCTTTTTTGTCATACTAAGCTCAGTGGATCAATGCAATTCTATTTGAGTGTCTGTTGCCCAAAACAACATTGGATGGGCACTCCTAAAGAAAGGCCCTAATTGCAATTTACTGTTGTCCTTTCACAAGGACACTTGTCTTTGTTTAAGAATATTACATAGTCAGTAATTGGTGCTATATAAATCATTAATTCTCCTGGGACAGCTGTGCACAAAGTCAGGCTTTTTAAACGTAGACTGTGTGTTAGTATATGTGTGTAATAGTGAAAAATGATGATGTCTAGTCCTACTTTGCTTCTTTTTGTTCCACTCATATTGTATTGTTGAAAATAATTAACCAGAATTAACTCACAATGCACCACAGACAGTATGAATGATGTCTCAGTGTGTGCGTGTGTAGGTGTGTGATTGTCGATGATGCATCAGTGAACCAGTCGTCTCTACATACCTCCACCTGTGCTTCTTTCTTGCAGAAAGCAGCTTTCTCATCAGTCAGTGGACCATAAATGAGACATGATGTTATTTGCTGGAATATTAGATCTTTTATTTATTTATTTATTTAGTATGTTCACATTCTTCTTCATACATGTATATCCATTTGTTCTATATTAATGTTTATTGTTATTATATGAACATCTTTTTCTTATTGTTGCAACACAAAATTTGGAAGATAAAACAGTGCAGGACATTTACAAAGGAACAATGGGGCATAAGCACTTATGATGAGCATAGTGGAGGTTTTATATGTGGTTTTTGAATGTGATGTGTAAAGAAGTAAAATAATAAAGACAGGGCGGGTCTGCCCTGAGACACCAGCATGTTAAGAACGAGATCGGGTCACCATCAGGGAGCTGCAGAGTGGCTCAGCAGAGTAAGGTCAGCCAGGACTGAAGTACTGTTATTTAGGTGAACCTCTGGACAGCCGTTCTGACAGATAGGACAGATATTAATTCCTGTCTTACAGCTTTACTAATAACACATTCTCTACATGTGTGCTTGAACCAGGGTCTGCAGGACTTTCTCTTTGTTAATATTGGCCAGGATTATTTGGGATTTATTTATCACTAATGCAACAAACCTAGATAACACAGTCATGTGTCAGCACTATGACGAGCATGCAAACATGTAATGTATGAACTGGTTTCACATTTACAAAATGTATTATGTGAATTGAAACAGTGCATTACCATATTTTCTCTATATGATTAAAAAAATCAACTAACATTTGTGATCATTTAACTACAGTCACAAAAAAAACTAAAAGAAGCAGGGCAATAGCCCGATGAAATCAAGGCCTGACTTGCTTTTCATGTTTAAATTGGTCATTGGCTATGTGAGCTATATATCTTTGAATGTGTCTGACAGTCCATTTTCATCATAATATCTTCTCCCAGGAGTGAAATAATGTCTGGCCTCCAGGCAATGTAAATGAAGAAAAATTTAAAGGCCTGGGCCAAGGCTCTGAGTCTGGATGGTTGAAGTTAAACGTGATTGAAAGTAATTGATGCATGACCTCACTTCATCGCATGGGAGGAAACCCAGAAATGTCATGTTAGAATGTAATTGCCTTTTATTACACTTTTCTGTCTTGTGTTTGAAAATAGACTCCAACAAGAATATTTTCACTAATAATGTAAGATAAGTAATCATTGTAATACAGCAACATTCCTGTCAGAATGACATTGAAATCACTTTAAATGTAAGGCTTTATTAACTCTATGAATGCAAATATCTTCTCTGAGAAGATGGCCTGAAGTCCATATCAGTATTTTATTAACTAATTTTACAGAGCAGCACTTCAGTTAGCGTCCACTAAAGTGGCTCTTGTTCAATCCTTTTAAATGCAGGGGCCCTGTTGATTTAAATTAAAAACCCGGAAGGTTCATATGGAATGGGAAATATGCAACCTTCAGGGGCTGACATGTCATATATGACACAACTAGGGTTGCAAGTCCATTGATAACACTTAGTTGAGGAAAGAAATAAAAGCCTTTTAAAATACACAAAAAACATATTATGCTGCTTCCTTAAATGAATTTAATTACCATTGTTATTATATATGTCTTTGAAGTTTACATTAATGCCCTTAAAAAAGGGATTATGAGAATATTACAATAATGTAGAATAATGCATCAATATATACAATCACAAAATATCAGGGAACACTAAATTCGGTCTAGGAGTGTTATACAACAACATAGTACTTCATGAAGTGCACAAAATATAAAGACTTTCAATATGTCACTGCAAAAATACCAAATAACTTAACTTTAACTTAAAAATGTAGAATAATGCATCAATATATACAATCACAAAATATCAGGGAACACTAAATTCGGTCTAGGAGTGTTATACAACAACATAGTACTTCATGAAGTGCACAAAATATAAAGACTTTCAATATGTCACTGCAAAAATACCAAATAACTTAACTTTAACTTAAACTTTATTGTCATTGTACATTGTACAACAAAATTAAAAATGCAATCCTTCGATGATAAAAAATAATCATAAACAATAAAACCCAACAAATTTACACACTCGCATCCATACACATCTGACTATTGCACAGTTCCCGTAAAATCCCATCAATCATTCAAATTTTAAGGTTTTAGCAGCATTTAAAGCAACAATAGCTCTCGGATAAAAACTGTTTCTTAATCTGTTTGTCCTTGCTATAATTGTTCAAATCCCAGAACACTGATTTATAAATCCTATAGGCATACTTTAAATTTGATTAATTGCAATACTTCAATAGGCCTATTGTTTGTCAGGATGTGGCGCCCTCCGGTGGTTTCCCTGGAAAACTGATATCAGCATGAAACACAAATATTCTAAAGAAATCATTTCATTTACACAGTGACACATACAGAGGCGGTAACTAAACACGTTATAGGATTCACACCAGCGATTTTGAACCAATAGTTAAGACAAATGAAAATAAGCAGTAACTATCCTGTCCTGCGGGGGCGCTGTTGCAAACACCAATAGATATTTCCAGAAGGATGGGGTCGCTGTTCACGGAAGTGCGACTGTTGTTTATCCGGCATTGAGCCTCCTCCTCGTTAGAATAACGATGGCTAGCGCCACAGTGAAGCAAGCACCTAAACTTGTCCCCAAATCATCTGCGGGGGCTACTGTCTGGGGATGCCCGCTCCTCTGGGCTACGTTCCTGGCCTTGGCAGAGGGTAAGCTAGCTAAGCTAGAATCTGCACGGACATGTAAGATAGCTGTAGCGTACTCCGCTAGTTTGCTAGCTACCAGTAGCAGTGTAGCTACAAAGCTTAGTTACAGTATGTCTGTTGGGCGAAGCCAGTGGTTTTGCAAACTGTCGTGCGTTATAATATAACTAGTTATGCTGGCTGCTGACCCAGCATAAACAATGTCAGCCATTGTTAATGCATTAGGTTCAATTATATTGATACGACGCCGAGCATTATACAACAGTAAGGTAGCTAACTTGTTGAATGAACAGGGATGTCAGTCAGCTCGGTATGGCCAGATAAACCTCAGGAGTTGAAATGTAATTAATGGAAGAGGAATCAAAAAGTAAGTGAAGAAAGTAAAATAAAAACAAGCTCTACTTAAACATTTTGTGTTTATTTTCTTAACTTCTCTGTAATTTTTGAGTTTTTTTAGTGAAATGTTAGTTAGTTTTTACATACTGATATCTGGTAAGCCCAGACAAAAGAAACAGCATAAAATGTTTGTTGAAATTTCCTGTGCATACTCACCATGAGTCCCATGTCCTGTTTTTCTTTGTGTGACATGTTAAATATTTGCTCCCTTTCAGTGCAACTGGTTTCACCACCCGATCTGATATTGGCCCGGCTCGTGATGCAAACGATCCAGTGGATGACCGACATGCACCCCCGGGGAAGCGGACGGTTGGAGACCAGATGAAAAAGAACCAGGAGGAGGATGATGAGGATCTGAATGACACAAACTATGATGAGGTGTCTATGATTGAATTGTCCCTGGCTGTTATTTGATGTTTATGGTTGATGCTGTAGGTCATTTTCAATGTGTTTATTCATCCACTGAAAATTCAAAGTTGACCAGAAGACAAATTTATGTAAATTAAATATATGTATTTTCTTATGCTAACCACATTATGTTGCTTATTTTCTTGTAGTTTAATGGGTATGCAGGTAGCTTGTTCTCCAGTGGTCCCTATGAAAAGGATGATGAAGAAGCAGATGCAATATATGCAGCACTGGACAAAAGAATGGATGAAAGACGCAAAGAAAGAAGGTTGCTATAAAATCTGTTAATATTTTTCCCCCTGAGTTTTAGGGTAAAAGCATACCCCTTCGTAGCTTTACACGTTATTTCCCTCTTTGATATCTTATGCATTTGCAAGGTTTAATGTTGTCTTTTATATTTTCAGAGAGCTGAGAGAAAAGGAAGAAATTGAGAAATATCGTATGGAGCGACCCAAAATACAGCAGCAGTTCTCAGATTTAAAGGTAAATAACTGACATGATGATGATTATGATATGTCAAACTGTTGCCCTTTTCCACCCATGATCACCCAGTTTTCCTCTGCTGTCTCAGAAGAGAGACACAGCTTCTTTTAGGGACATGTAGTATTTTGTCTCTGCTGTATAGTGCTGTATGTTAGTTACAAAGAACCCACATTGCTGACGATTCAAGTTGATTCACATCTTTTTTCCCTCAATTTTTTGTCTCCTCACAGAGGAAGTTGGCAGAGGTATCAGAAGAGGAGTGGCTGAGCATCCCTGAGGTGGGAGATGCGAGGAACAAGCGCCAGAGGAATCCCCGCTATGAGAAACTCACCCCTGTCCCAGACAGTTTCTTCTCCAAGCACCTGCAGACCGGAGAGAACCACACTTCTGTTGATCCTCTGCAAGGGGTCAGTGTGCATGCAAAAAACACACACCTCTATTGTAGATGTCCACATAAAAACAAATAATAATGAATGACATGATGCATTTTCAGCCAGCACCAGCAGGAGTCAGGATATCACACTGGAAACAGGCGACCTCCAGTATTACACATATTTGAATTGATAACAAATGGAAACATGCCCTGTTGATTAAAAATTGTCTGTTTTTGCCATGTACATATTGCATTTTCAAAGCTTACATTATCACTTTGAACATTAAGCACTTTGTGGTCCATTATTGTAGCATAGGAAAGCCATTGCTCATAGTTTTTACATGTGTCGTTCACAGTGGTGAGACAGTGTCATACCGATGTGATCTAGAGCTCTGTTTCATAAGCTTTTTCAACATAGTGTAGCAAAATTCTGACTGTAATGTGCCGCTCCATTATCATTGTTTGTTCTCTCCACTAGCTGGGAGGTCTGAACACACCTTACCCCGGAAGCATGACTCCTGGCTTGATGACACCAGGGACAGGAGAGCTCGACATGAGGAAAATTGGTCAGGCCAGGAACACACTCATGGACATGAGGCTCAGTCAGGTAAGTAATACGTGACCCTCAGCTACTTTTTCCATACTCTGTCATTCATATTCTTCACACATTACCCCAGTAAAGAGGATTTATTTTTTCTCTTTCTGTCACCCTGTGCCTGCCTTTTGATCTGTTTTAAGGTGTCAGACTCAGTGAGTGGACAGACAGTGGTGGATCCTAAGGGTTACCTGACAGATCTCAACTCCATGATCCCCACACATGGAGGGGACATTAGGTAGAGACACACCAGGACACCCATAAGCTCCTAGAGTTTATGTTTGTGAAATAAATTGTAAGTGTCTCATGGTTGCTTTTTGACTCTTTAAATCCAGCGACATTAAGAAAGCTCGTCTGCTGCTGAAATCTGTGAGGGAGACCAATCCCCATCACCCACCTGCCTGGATTGCCTCTGCCAGGCTGGAGGAGGTGACTGGCAAACTGCAGGTAGCCAGGAACCTGATCATGAAAGGCACAGAGATGTGTCCTAAGGTAAAGGATGATAACATTATGCATCCGTTACAGGCCTAAGTGCATGTGTAAATAGATGTATATCATTAGCTCATCCAGAGTTTATGCTGTGGTGGAGGTTATTGGTTTGTTTATTCACAATAAATCTAATATTATAATATTTCCCTGGATACTGTATCATTGCATAAAGTGGTAAGCATTTCAGTCTTTGCCCCTCTGTTGATGTAGTCATGTCTTTCTGCCCTCCAGAGTGAGGATGTGTGGCTGGAGGCAGCTCGGCTCCAGCCTGGCGACACAGCTAAAGCCGTGGTAGCTCAGGCTGTCCGCCACCTGCCGCAGTCTGTCCGTATCTACATCAGAGCTGCAGAGCTGGAGACGGACATCAGGGCCAAGAAACGAGTCCTCAGGAAGGGTAAGGCATCTATAACAATAGAGTTAAAAATTACTAAAGTAATGCTTTTAACTTGTTTTCTTGTTAGTGTGTATCCATTGTCAGAAAGCCATGGGTTGAGGTTTTGAAATGATGTTGCTCTTATTTTGTTATGAGGGGAGTTTGTGTACTTTCTCAGCAGTGAATGCATCAATTGAAATGTACTAATTTGCTTGACGAAAGGAAGACAGAAATTTCTGCAATGAATATTCAAAACCAGTCTCAGTTTTTCCACTGTCTCATAAAAGCACCCACACACAACTCACTATTCAGTGACTGTACATATAAGATTGTATAAAAGATTTCTTAAGGCTACATTTGGCAGCTGTGGTTCTGGTTTTCTGCCAAGGCAAGGCACCCTATTTGAACCATGGTGTCAGTGCCCTCGCATGCACACACACACACACACCAGTATTTCCCAGCAGCATACCCCAATGACAGAGATGGATGTGCCGCTTCCTCTGTGGTAGAGCTGTCTCCGCCTCTACATGTTCAATTGCTTCCAGTCTACTTTGCTCCCTGCCTTCTCTAGTGCTTGTTTTTATTGCCTGTATATTCACTGAAATCTGTAGTGTATCCACTTCTGTTTTTGTGTGTATTTCCAGTGTAAATATACTTAGGTCTGTGTATAAATGTTGCTGTTGTTGTGCCTGAATGGCCAATTGTTTAAAAAGAGAAGCTGTTGCAGCAAGGTCAAAGGTTTACGACAGTTAGTTGCCTTGAGCAACACACGGGCTTGTTCACACATTGTAAGTCACTTGAAATAAACATGTCAGTGAAATGACTTAACATTTGTATAATTGTGTAGCGCTGGAGAATGTGTCCAAGTCAGTGCGACTGTGGAAGACAGCTGTGGAGCTAGAGGAGCCAGAGGATGCCAGGATCATGCTCAGCAGAGCTGTGGAGTGTTGCCCTACTAGTGTGGAGGTATGTTTAGCACTATGATATCGGACCAACAGGACACCACACACTGCAATGCAACATATAAACCTTGACACTTACCTTCATATCTAATTACTGCTCTCTGTCCTGTAGCTATGGCTGGCACTGGCCCGGTTAGAGACGTACGAAAACGCTCGTCGCGTCCTAAACAAAGCTCGAGAGAACATCCCCACCGATCGTCACATCTGGATCACTGCTGCCAAGTTGGAAGAGGCCAACGGCAACACTCAGATGGTGGACAAGATCATTGACAGGGCCATCACTTCTCTGCATGCTAACGGTGTGGAGATCAACAGAGAGCAGTGGATACAGGTATGTGCACATGCCTTTGCAGTTTCTTTGATGTCACAGAGCAGGGTTTCCTGTAGCTGTTTATGGAAGAGAGAGACTTTCTCCTTTGAATAATTAATTGTATTCCCTGAGGTTACAAGACAATTATGCACTGAACAAGAAGTAATTCAAAGTTACTGATGAAATGTATACTCTATAATCACTCGATAAATCCACCCTATAGATTTTATTATGATTTTATGTGTGTGCGCATATATATGTATGTGTGTATATTAACAAACGTGTGAATTATAAGGTCTTTTAAACTTGGTGTTGAACAAGCAGTCAGTTTTATGTGTTTGTCAGCTTTGACAGCTTGCCAACATACTTTGGCAAAGTATTCTCTGTGATTTTATCTGGGTACAACAGAATACAAGCCAGCACTGTGACTGACATTTTGCTTACTGATTTTCACAGTAGTTTTGCAATCACAGGTCTTTACTGTACTCATCTCTTTTCACAATGTTTTATGTTTTCCTTGACTACCCCACCTCTGGCAAAGTATGTGGTTAAGGCCTTTTGCCAGTAAACTCTTTCAACAACAGATGAACTTTAAATGATGTGTGGAGTTTTTTATCATTTTGTGTGTGTGTGTGTGCCATCCACAGTCTCTTTCCTCCTAAATGCTTCTTCTTGTCCTGCAGGATGCAGAGGAGTGTGACAAAGCAGGCAGTGTGGCTACCTGCCAGGCGGTAATAAGGGCTGTCATAGGGATTGGCATTGAGGAGGAGGACCGCAAACACACCTGGATGGAGGATGCAGAGAGTGTAAGCACCTCAGAAGGGTCATTCATATGGCTCATTCCCTTGCCGTCAGAGCTTAATTGAGAATTGTTGTGTTTCAGTGCGTGGCCCATGGAGCACTGGAGTGTGCCCTTTTAAAATGAATCTGTTTGTGTATAAAGGTATCCTGAGTTGGTGCTTTGCTCTTTACACAAAATATGCAGAGTTTACCAGACAAATTATTTATAAGCTGTAACTAATCTAAATTGATATCAGTTTTGATACCTAATTGATATCATCATTTAGAGATTTCTGGTCTCAGTAGTAGAAGACATTTATCATTGACATATTTGATATGCAAGTGTTTCAGTGTAAATGACTCCATCATTCCTGACCCACTACTGGGGTCAGTAGTTCCTGCTTTAACTTTGTATATTTTCATTTTGTGTGTGTGTGTGTGTGCCATCCACAGTCTCTTTCCTCCTAAATGCTTCTTCTTGTCCTGCAGGATGCAGAAGAGTGTGACAAAGCAGGCAGTGTGGCTACCTGCCAGGCGGTAATAAGGGCTGTCATAGGGATTGGCATTGAGGAGGAGGACCGCAAACACACCTGGATGGAGGATGCAGAGAGTGTAAGCACCCCAGAAGGGTCATTCATATGGCTCATTCCCTTGCCGTCAGAGCTTAATTGAGAATTGTTGTGTTTCAGTGCGTGGCCCATGGAGCACTGGAGTGTGCCAGGGCCATCTATGCCCATGCTCTGCAGGTGTTCCCCAGTAAGAAAAGTGTTTGGCTTCGAGCTGCCTACTTTGAGAAGAGCCACGGTACCAGGTAACCAGATTTGGTTTCTAAATATAGCAAACGGTAATCAAAACCTGACTTTTACCGTTTTATCGTATCCTCCCATTCATTACTCATGGCTTATTGTATCTCTCAGGGAGTCTTTGGAGGCCCTGCTCCAGAGAGCTGTGGCTCACTGCCCCAAAGCAGAGGTCCTGTGGCTGATGGGGGCCAAGTCCAAGTGGCTGGCTGAGGATGTGCCTGCAGCCAGAAGTATCCTCGCCCTGGCCTTCCAGGTGATGATGCAGTTATGTAAACTTTGATGTGTTCATGCAGTATTCATTTGAGCCTGTGTCTAACTCTATTTTCCTCTTTCCTCTCCACTTACTTGTACACTGTCTGTCTCTGCCTCCTCTTTGTATTTTCCTAGGCTAACCCTAACAGTGAGGAGATCTGGCTTGCTGCTGTCAAACTGGAGTCTGAGAATAATGAGTATGAAAGAGCCCGTCGACTGCTGGCCAAGGCCCGCAGCAGTGCCCCAACAGCCAGGGTGTGTGTGTGTGAGAGAAAGACCCAGAGAATTCCTTATTTTAAGCTCATGGGTGCTACACTGCACAAATCCAATTATTTGTTGGAAAAGGGTTAACAAATGCTCTCCTTGTTTAATTTCTAATACATCAAATGTTTGTCACTTAAAACCTTCATGTTGTACTGTCAGCTGGTATTTGTTGGATTATAAAACTGCCCTGAAAGAGAAGTCAAAAGAAAGGGAGGCATTTTCTTAAAAACGCATTTCCTTAACTTTTTTGGATGATGGCTTGTACAGTGGAAGTGTTCTGTGTTTAATCTCTTGTCCTTTTTAACTGTTCTGCTGTGACCCTCTGTACCAGCAGGGACATTTTTATCATTAAATACTGTTGCTCTAAATAGAGCTCTGACCCATGTTTTAGGCTGCCATGATTATGAGGTCTCTTCTTTTAATGCCTGTGCTTAATGCTAAATTAATAGTATCTTGAATTTGAGGTAGTTTCAACAAGCGTCTTGTCGTTCTCAGGTTCAGGCTTGCCAGGTTTCTACACCTTGTACCAGTCAGCACCACTCAGATCGACGGCAGTGCTGTCTACTAGTCTGTCTATCGGGCGACGTGGCTACACTCCTTTTACTTATCTGTTTGTATTTGCAGACAGATATGATTAAGAGAGCCTGATTGAATGCTGGCTGTACTGATCGTCCTGTCAGATAAGACAGCTGTGTGGTGTTAACGGAGCACTTATGCGTTTAGGCTGTTTATTAGAAACTTGGTATTTGATTCATTTGAAAGCTGGTAAGGTATTTGCATTGCATAAATTGTTTGTGGGTTTTGTTTATACATAATTTCCTGGCTGAACAGCTTGTGTTTGTGTGTTTGTATATATGTATATCTCTACAGGTGTTCATGAAGTCAGTGAAGTTGGAGTGGGTGTTGGGAAACATAGAAGCTGCCCAGGAGTTGTGTACTGAAGCCCTGAAACATTACGAGGACTTCCCCAAGCTTTGGATGATGAGAGGCCAGATAGAGGAGCAGTGTGAAAGCATGGACAAGGCCAGAGAGGCCTACAACCAAGGGGTAAGGTGGAGGATGTATGTAGGGCACAGTTTGTCAGTATAAAATAAGGGGATTTCACTTTTGAAGACATTTTAGACAGATGTGTTTTTGGTGAAAGTGTGTGTTTCTCTAATAAGTAGTTAATGTCTTGTTTGTGGCTGTAGTTGAAAAAATGCCCCCACTCGGTGCCCCTGTGGTTGTTGCTGTCGCATCTTGAAGAGAGTGTGGGACAGCTGACGAGAGCCAGAGCAATCCTGGAGAAGGCACGACTCAAGAACCCCCAGAACCCTGAGCTATGGTGAGGAAACACACAGTAAAGAAAGTGTGATATGCCAAAGCAGGATGCAGCCAGAGGAAGAGATTTAGCTTGAAATGTGTCACGTGTGTTGTGTTCATATGGGTCTTGAGGCTCAACTGAGCTATGCTTGTACCTTTTCAGTGAATTGTTTGGCTAATTTCTATAATAGTGAACAGTAAAAATGTATATGTTAGGGAATATGTTCATTTGAAAAACACATTTATGATTAATTTATTTTATGAAACTGTTAAATGAGCTTTTACCAAATTTATTAAACAGATTTTCTTTAAAAGCAGCACAGAAACCCAAACTGGGATGTATGCCAATTTAATAAGGTATATATGTGATCATATTAACCAGGTTGGAGTCAGTGAGACTGGAGTTCAGGGCCGGACTGAAGAACATTGCTAACACACTGATGGCCAAAGCCCTGCAGGAGTGCCCCAATTCAGGTGAAACTTGAAAAAGATTTATTTCATCTTCTATTTCTGTCATCACATTCCCAGTGGGTCAGAAGTTCATGATGCCATCTGTTTTGTGAAATGCCCTGTCCCTCCTGCAGCAAAGCATTCCCATAATGTGATGCTGCCACCCCTGTGCTTCATGGTTGGGATGGTGTCCTTTGGCCTGTGAGCCTCCCCCTTTTTCCTCCAGGCACAATGATGGTCATTATGGCCATACAGTTCAGTTTTTGTTTCTCCAAAAAGTCAGATTTTTCTACCCATGTGCAGCTGCAAACAGTAATCTGCCTTCTTTATGGAGGTCTTGGAGCAATGGCTTCTTCACTGAGAAGCCTGTCATGTTATGTCAATATAGGAGTCGTTTTACTGTGGATATACTGTAAATACTTCGCTACCTGTTTCCTCCAGTGTCTTCACAAGGTCCTTTGCTGTTGTTCTTGGATTGGTTTGTACTTTTCAACCAAGTTACGTTCATCTCTAGGAGACAGAACATGTCTCCTTCCTGGGCAGTATGACAGCTACGTTGTCCCATGATGTTTATACTTGTGTAGTATTGTTTGCACAGATAAATGTGATGCCTTCAGGTGCTTGGAAATTGTTCCTAAGGATGGACCAGACTTGTGAAGGCCCACAAATTTTTTTCTGAAGTCTTGGCTGGTTTCTTTTGATTTTCCAATGAGGTATTGATTTTGAAGGTAGGCTTTAAAATACACTATATTGCCAAAAGTATTCACTCACCCATCCAAATCATTGAATTCAGGTGTTCCAACCACTCCCATGGTTATAGGTATATATAATCAAGCACCTAGGCATGCAGACCACTTCTGCAAACATTTGTGAAAGAACGGGTCGCTCTCAGGAGCTCAGTGAACTCCAGCATGGTACCGTGATAGGATGCCACCTGTGCAGTAAGTCCAGTCGTGAAATTTCCTCACTACTAAATATTCCACAGTCAACTGTTAGTGGTATTATAATAAAGTGGAAGTGATTGGGAATGACAACAACTCAGCCACGAAGTGGTAGACCACATAAAATCACAGAGTGGGGTCAGCGGATGCTGAGACACATAGTGCACAGAGGTCACTGACTTTCTGCAGAGTCAATAGCTACAGACCTCCAAACTTCGTGTGACCTTCAGATTAGCTCAAGAACAGTGTGTGGAGAGCTTCATGGAATGGGGTTCCATGGTCAAGCAGCTGCATCCAAGCCTTACATCACCAAGTGCAATGCAAAGCGTCGGATGCACGCAGCCACTGGACTCTAGAGCAGTGGAGACGTGTTCTCTGGAGTGACGAATCACGCTTCCCTGTCTGGCAATCTGATGGACAAGTCTGGGTTTGGCGGTTGCCAGGAGAACGGAACTTGTCTAACTGCATTGTGCCAAGTGTAAAGTTTGGTGGAGGGGGGGGATTATGATGTGGGGGTGTTTTTCATGAGCTGGGCTTGGCCCCTTAGTTCCAGTGAAACCCGATAGAACACCTTTGGGATGAATTAGAGCGGAGACTATATCCAGGCCTTCTCGTCCAACATCGGTGTCTGACCTCCCATTAATTCCCATTAACACACTCCTAAACCTTGTGGCCTTGAAGCTGTTATAGCTGTAAAGTGTCGGCCAACATCATATTAAACCTTATGGATTAAGAATCGGTTGTTGCACAAGTTCATGTGCATGTGAAGGCAGGCGAGCGAATACTTTTGGCAATATAGTGTACATCCACAGCTACACCTCCTATTGACCCAAGTAGCTAATCAGAAGCTTCTAAAGCTATGACATCATTTTCAGGAATTTTCCAGTCTGTTTAAAGGCACAGTCAACTGAGTGTATGTAAATTTTTGACCCACTGGAATTGTGATATAGTGAATTTTAAGAGAAATAATCTAACTGTAAACAACAGTTGTAAAAATTGTCATGCATAAAATAAAGTACATGTCCTAACTGTCTTACCAAAATGAGAGCTTGTTAACATGAGTCAGTAGCTTTCTATATTTTCTGTTCCTGTCTGCAGTCTCAAATTCTCAATTTCACTCTACTCTCGTTTCCTTCCTATAAAGGTATCCTATGGGCCGAGGCAGTGTTTTTAGAGGCCAGGCCCCAAAGGAAGACTAAGAGTGTAGACGCTCTGAAGAAGTGCGAACATGATCCCCACGTCTTGCTCGCTGTAGCCAAGTATGACTGCTTTTTTTTTTTTCACTGTTTTCCACTCTCCTCCTCAGCAATAAGCTCTGCTCTTAGTACATACAATAAATATTTATCTGCAGTTCTGGTTTTACTGTCTGTTTAGCAAAACATTTGCTATAACACCTTTTAAAAAATTTCAAATGAAATCTCATGCACACATTTCAGGTTGTTTTGGAGTGAGCGTAAGATCACCAAGTCCAGAGAGTGGTTCCTCAGGACAGTAAAGATTGAGCCAGATCTGGGAGATGCTTGGGCTCTTTTCTATAAGTTTGAGCTGCAACATGGCACAGAGGTAAGTATCCTGTAATGGCCTGACCTTATCTGGGTATGAGACTTGTGCCACTTTTGTGCCAGTAGTTACATTTACACCGCAGCTAAATATCCTTCTAACTGTAATGACTAAATCCTGTAAAACCTATGGTTGACAAGTCAGAACTACACTGAAAAATACAGCTTCAGCTACAGATGTCTGTTCTCCTGTTGTGAATAGCTTCTTTCAAAACATACACACAGCTGCTTTTATAAACCTGCATGGCAGTTACTGCTAACAACTGTGGTTGTGTGTTTAACCATCCATCAGGAGCAGCAGGAAGAGGTGCGAAAGCGCTGTGAGAATGCAGAGCCCCGCCATGGAGAGATGTGGTGTGCCGAGTCCAAACACGTCCTGAACTGGCAGAAGAAGACAGGAGAGATATTAATGCAGGTAGCCAGCAAGATCAAGAACACATTCTGAGACTGGAGAGGTTTGGACTGAAAACACCTGGTGGACTCTGGTAGTCACCAGTCCAGCAGGTAACAGCTATAAACCCAGCCTGTTGGATACAAAGAGTTCACATACAACCCTGACTCACCTTTTTTATGTTTTGTTGTTTTAAAAATGTGTCATACTAATCAACAGAAAATGATCATTTAATGTCAAAATGGAAATAAAAGTCTCCACATCTTGAATAAAGTACTAATATAAAACTCAAACTCGCTGAATACCCAATTGAGGTGAACAAGTGTAGCAGTTCCAGTGTTGGATCTTTGTGTGTTTTGGTGTTTGAGACCTGTCAGGTTGCATAGGGACTACCAGTGATCTCCTGTTTCCATGTCCTCAAATCAACTGAACAAAGGACTTGGCCACCTCTGGACTTTAAGGCTGTTATTTCTGTGCTATTTCAATGTAGCCTTGGCTGTATTTTTGAGGTTTTTGTCTTACTGGGAATTCTACTTGCAAACAGCTGCAGGTGGTCCTTTGGTATTTCATTGTGTTTTGCTGCAAATATTTACCTTTCAGGGTCTGACCACAGTATGATGCCGCCATAATAGTGGAAATGTTTTTATGGTAATGAAGCTAGTTTAGATTACACAAAATCTTTGGTTTAACATGATAGCCTTCTACTTTATGTCTCCCACATATTTTCTGGCAAACAAGAACTCCTGATTTACTTAAGGTTTTTTCTTTTTTCAACATTTTTCTGTTTAATCTTTGCAAAGCTGCATCTGGTGAATCACTACTGCAACACTTGTATATGCAATTCTCTTAACTAAAAGGAAACTTATTCATTACAATTAATAATGAATTCAATTCCTTAGTCGGTAAGTCAGCCGCTGAATATATTTCTAGTCTTAAGTGTTCACTTACAGATTTATGAATTAAATGTTTACGTCAAAGTTAATATGTAGGGATCACACAATATAAGGCAACAGGTACTGGCACTGAATCCCTGAGCTGATAATGAAACAAACGCAGCTACTATAACAGTTCTTGTTTTGAATAAGGTGTACAATTGGTGAATATTAAATAACAGTATATTCATGTGAAAGGCAAAATTAACATGTTAAAGCAACATCTGTAAACAACTTTCTTTGCAGTCAATCTTTAATTTCACATTCTGACACCTTTTAAGTGGTAGCAGAGATGGTATACTACTCTTCTTTTCTTTCTTTCTTTTTTTTTTTTTAATATTTTTCCCCAGCCATAACCATCCATGTTACATACACGTACTTACTAGTCTTTAATGTTTGGCCATACTGTTGGTACAAGGTGTTTTGTTTACTTGCTGCGCAAGTGGCTGATTTCAAGTGTTGCGTATCAAATTAAAACAGAGGAAACACCCAACCAATGCCAAACATCACTGTTTATCCAACTTATGTGAATTCTAATAATAACAGGCTGCACTGGTAATGAGTTTGCATCAACAGGTGAATTTATTGATCTGTTTTCACTTTGGCATTATTAAAAAAAAAGCTGATTAGTGTCAAATTGAAATGTCAGTCATTGTGGTTGTTGTGCAGATTAAGAGCAGAAATGAAAAGGTAGAAAACATACCAAACACACAGGTTGATTCCACCTTTTAACTGAACCCTTCAGATATCTAGTGATGGGTTGCTATTTGTTGTTTAAAAAGATCGACATATATCTTTGATTCATTTTATGTCTTGTCCGTGTCGATATGCCAGAGGTCCAGAATTGGTTCTTTTTGTTCACCAGTGTATATAAACCACCAGGGACTATTGCATGATTTCTCATGTTGTAGTAATGAGCCGTTTTTTGTTGTTTTTTTTTTTACATAGCTTGTGTTTAAAATGTGTTTAAATACTTTCAGGTATCCAATAAACAAATAACAGTTTGTTGCACTATTTCCGGTTTTTTTTTCCAGACAAGATAAAAGAGTTGGCTGCGATTTAAATTTCAGTCTGACAGTTGTGCCCACACTAATCCTCCCATGCAGTTCCCCTGCGAGGTCAGCGTTCTGTGTCTGGGATTTCATTGTAACTTTGCACCATTTGCTTTGGCTGAAAAGAGTTAGGGTCACTGCATGTTGTCATCGTCGTTTGCGTTTTGGCAAAATGCTCCACCGGCGCTCCTTCGCGGCGCCTCTTTCTAACGAAACCGAAAGGATAAAGGAAAGTGATTAATTGCAGAAATTGTACTCGACTTGATCGGACTGGAGTTTGGTGAAATCCTAACCCCGGTGTCAACCATCCATGACGGGGAAAGAAATTGGAGCAGTAGTGATTTTGGTGATGTTGGAAACCACGGAGCAGCAAATCGGACGTCTATCCGCCGTCGTGATATTCCATCCACCAGAGGAAGTGTAAAAGTACAGAAAAGGTTTGGATACAATGAATGCAGCCGAATCGAGAGTGATTCTTTGGCTCTCCCTGCTACTGATAGAGATGAGTTTGCTCGTCTGAGGATCCTGAAGTAGAACATGACAAATGGTAAGTGTTGTTTTAACATCTGGTGCGCACTGACGCAGCAAATGAGCTGTAGAATATTGGCATTAGAAAATTGCGCTCCTGAATATTAAGTATGTGTACAGCACCACTGTTAACAGAACCGTACTGACATCGGTCACGATGCCTTGTGGTGAAAACAGCTTCAAACCGATGGATGCTTTAATGGGCAAGCCGTGGCTCACTGAGTCGGAGCTGCAGCCAATAACTCATGCGCTTCTTGTGGTAATTTAGTGTGGATGTGTTCTTTCCTTATACCTGTAATAAGACGCACTTCTCTCTTTCATAGTGTCTGCCCGGAGCTCTATTCCGTAGTGTCCTGATGGTTCTCTTGTTGGTGAACTGTTGTGGTAAACGTAGATGTAACTATAAAGAAATACTGGGCTCCTACAGAGAAGTAATCTTCGTTGAGCTGCAGAATCTGGTATGGGATCATTGTTGCAGATAAGACTGTGCGCTTTGATAGAGACGTTTTTTTCTTATGTATTTTATTGTTTTTATTTTGCATTCCATTAACTGGCACGGTCCATGTAAGTTTAGTTAGTTGCAGCTACGTGGGAGTGATGTTTAGATATACGTATGTCTAGTGATAGGCTGCCCTCCAGTGTCTCCAACTGTGCTCACTGTGCCAGTAAAGCTCCTCTCTTTCTCTCTTTTTTTTTGAATTTTAATCTAGTTTAATAAATCCACTCTTGTTTTTTCCAGAATTTGACTGGTTCATTTTATACATCAAAAGATAGAGATCCTTGTCCCTCAGGAAAGGTAAATGGAACTACAGCATGTGCACTTTCAGCACCATGGACAGGGTACTAACTCATAACCACCATGATACTGCCAGTTTCACAGGAAATTGTCTTAATCTGCCGGTGTGACTACCAACTGTTTAAAATCTGCAAATGGGATTGTGGAATGTGACTTATATTTGTTGTATAGTAGCATCAACAGCTGAGCTATAGACAGCCTATTTCAAATGCTGTTTTGTTTTCTTCACTTTTGTGGCAGCCACATCGCATCCTGGTTTCTATCTATGGTATGACACATCAGGTGCGGTGTCAGAGGAGTAGCAAGCAGCAGTCTGCCCTGGAAAAGCCACTGGAGAGTATGGAGCGGCTCATCGTTCGCAACTGCAATCCTAATTATCTGGTGAGGAGAGGGGCTTTACAGCACTATATCCTTCTATTTTTGTTGACTGAATAGATCTGTTTATTAGATCTATTCATTTCCTGCTCCTTAAGCTAACCCACCCACAGAGACAAAAGTAAACAACATAGCAAAAATAATCCTGTTTTTGAACTTTTAAATCAAAGGTCAGGCTTGGAAAATTGTTTGCAGATGATACATATAAATATCCTTGATAATGTTACACTCAAAACAGTGCTAAAGCAGATCAGTGAATGGAAGCCAAGAATTTATTGCATAACAATACTTTTGTTCTGGTTGTATGGTTTCAGGGGAAGAGAACCTCTTGTTCTGCTTTCCAGAAAATACAAAGAAAGAAGAGAAGGAGAAGCAGGTTAATCAAAGTTGTCAAGGCACTGATCACTTGTTGGCAGAAACTTCAGAGCGTCTATAGGCCAATGCTCTCAAATTAGGAAACATTCCTTCGTTGTTCCTGTTCTCATGAAGACAAATGGTGGCTTTCCAGAAAGTTCACTGCATCAAACAGAAGATATTAAATGGCCAATGACACAATGTATTTACATACCAGTTTTGTTTTATAAATGCAATGTCATGGATGTTTACTCTTGTCTAGTTATGTGTTTTATATATTAAAACTATACCAGACTTTGCATGTCAGCAGTGCTCCTTCTTTTATAAAATGGTTTTATAGTAACCACAAATAAGCTAAAAATATCCATTGCATTCAAATACTTTCATAATATGCACATTTTCCAAGGTCTCACCTCTTCCAAGGTGTTTGTAAGCCAGATGCCATTATAATCATGGAATGTTCTTCTGTTAGTTATGTTAAATAAATGACTGAGTCATAGTAATATGAGGTCTTGGTAGTGTTGTTGTTGTTGTTGTTATCGGTGGTGCTGGTGATATAGGTGCAATATCAAAATATGACAGCAACAGCAGTCCTTTAAAGTCTTTTCACTGAGTGTGCAACAATTAGACTGTGTACAAGATGTGACAATAACAAAATAAACAATAAATAGACATTTAGCAGTTCAGTTTTCATGTGTCAGATACTCCTTGACCTTTACTGGTTACTGCTTTCAAGAAATCCTAATAGTGACTTAAGGAAAAATGTACTTTGGGGAAGATTTGTCCAGTCCATCTAATAATAATATAATCAAGTCAGTCATATAATTTGAATTAGAAAAAGAATTAAAATCAAAGTAAACAACAATGTATTTATGTCTATGGTAAACCTCCCAAGTAAATCCATTTCTGACAGACGCGGAACTCTTTTTTAATACAACACAGTTTCTACCCGGAGCAGAGTCCATGTTACACAGCCCCCAAATAAGCAGTCCCCCAACGTGAACGAGTAGCTGCGATAGGTATTGTTGCGGTTAAAATCGCCTTACTAATCTCTTTACGCTTTATTTCCGTTATATGTTGTCGCTTACGTTTTTTCAGAAACAAATAGACGCACCCGGCTAACGTTAAGACGTTAAAAGGCAGTATTAGTGCGTTAACTGTCCGAGATAGCCTACCACATTTTAAGGAAACCCTACCGAATACTCTGAACATGAAAAACGTTCACTTAACTGTTGGAAACGGAGTTTTGTTCGTGTGTTGCCTGGTTTGATTTAGTCAGTAAGTTTAGGTCGGTTAGTTCTGGACAGAGCTGACATGGCGAGCAGCACCACCGTAAACATGGATCCAGATGTTGCCCTGAGGCTGTTTGAGGAGGGAGCCACCCTGGTGCTGCTGGGTGTTCCTCAGGGTACAGAGCTGGGGATTGACTGCAAGAGCTGGCAGGTGGGCCCTCGCTTCCGCGGTGTGAAGATGATCCCTCCAGGCCTTCACTTCCTCCACTACTGTTCTGTTAACTCGCCAAGCTGTGGAGGACAAGTCGGTCCAAAGACAGGCCTCTTCCTCACTCTGAAACCCAGAGAGATACTGTTGGCTAACTGGGATCCCAAAGAAGAAGACCTGGACTTTTCAGCCTCCAAGAACGAAGAAGAGGTGAGCCGTATTCGGGCGACCTTGCGAGATCTGGATCCTTACCTGGGTCCCTATCCATATGAGGTGATGAGGAAGTGGGTATCTCTCACTGACCGGCTAAGCGAAGAGGTGGCCAAAAACCTGCAGCCTCTGTCTGGCCGAATATGCGCCTTTAGTGATGTTATTCCTGAGATTAATTTCAGACACACCAAAGACAGGGCAGAGCAGCCGAGGAATGACACAGCCTGTCAGAGCATGAGAGAGGGACTTGACAGGCTCCCCAGGATGAAGCAGAGGGAGGGGACGGAGTTGCGCTTCTCTGTTATCCCCAAGAAGACATATCCACCTGGTGCAACACCAGCTGAGATCACCCAGTGCAGCCTGGACCTGAGTTATGCCCTGGAGACTGTGCTGGCGAAGAACCATGAGCTACAACCTCTCAACCTGCTAGGTATGTATCATACTAATATTAGATCATCAAACGATCAGACAGTTACATTTTATGTGTTAAATCTACCTAATCCTCCTCCCTCTTGTCATAGGTGAGATCCAGTTTGCCTTTGTATGTTTCCTCCTTGGAGATGTGTATGAGGGCTTTGAGCACTGGAAGTGTCTTCTGGCTCTGTTGTGTCGCTCAGAGGAGGCCATGCACAAGCGTACGGAGCTCTATCTGGGGCTCATTGCTGTGCTCTACCACCAGCTCGGAGAAATCCCGCCTGACTACTTTGTTGACATTGTGTCACAGAACAACTTCCTGACCTCCACACTGCAGGTAGATGGCCATGTTCTGAATCCCATAAATAGCGGGAAAAACATAATCTCAAAGTGCATTCAGATGAAATAAGCTACTGTGTACTAAGAGCTTTATCACAATTTTAAGCTTCTTGTTGTTTAAATAAAATATTTTAAAAGGAAATGTGCATAGGTATTTATAACCAGATTTTAGTTGTCACATCCTGACATGTGATAACAATCTACAAATAGTACAAATGAGTTTAAAGTCATATTAACTCATTTCTTTTGTGTTGCTAGAGAGTATAGTGAAACTCAAAAGGGTTTTTTTTCATTATAAGAACCTAATGAAACATGTCGAGCCAAGTAGTGCGTCATGGGTTCGGCGTTTGTTTCCACTGCCATGTGCCCTCTTTGGAGGCGCCTTCTGGGAGCTATATTTCGGCACCCTTCAGTAAAATCAAGTTCGAGGGGCAAGGGGGTGCTTGCACGCAGAGCAGTTGCCGTGGATGCTTAAGTGTCCGCTCATCACACCTCAGTCATTAGCATTAGAAGCACCGTGTGTAATGAGGTACTATACTTTGGTTTAGAGGTAAAAATGAGGTAAAACAGGGACTTCAGTGAGTGGACCACAGCAAAGTGGTGAAGATGTCACATTTCTGCAGATCTGTGTTCTGTTTGTTTAACAGTTGTTTGATAAACTGCTCATACACTTTGGGTTACTGGCTGATTGTTGCACTATGGAGTGATCCTCCACATTGTCTGTTCTCCCTCTGCTCTGCTGACTGTTGTGTGTGAGAGAAGCGTAGCCCCTCCCTGCTCTAGACAAAGAGCGTTACAGAGAAAATACAGGGGGAAAACAAAGCAGGACCATCCGCGTCAACCCGGGAGGTTATGTGGGGTGGAGTACCGGGTATACGCCTCATTAGGTTCCGATAGGGCAAACGCCTGTTTCCTAGCAATGACATGAACTACAGATACCTGGTTGGACGAACTACAGATACCTGGTTGGACAAACTACAAAATGCACCCACCAGTCCAAAACTAGTCTTAGCTGTCTAATGAGTCCCAGCACTGCAGCGGCACAGTGCCTAGTAACAGGTTTGGCAGTGTGGAGACGGTTCAAACAGGGCCAAGCACTAATGTTACACAAAACTCAAATTACTCCCAAAATAAAATCCTATTAAATCAAAACAAAGGTAAAACCATGACCATGCTAAGTTGCTAATGTTACCAAAACAAACATGATAGCTTCAGATGCTAACACATTAAGAAGAAGAAGAATGCCACATCTGAATCAAATTTGAGTCCTTTGGCTGTCTCTGACCCCCTCTATGTCAAAAAGCCAATAAGGAAAGTAATCCTACCTCCAGCAGCGGGAAAGCTTACTGGAGAACTGTCTCCACCACTGGATTTCCCAGGAGGTAGCATGTAATATGACAAATATAAACACAGTACAGTAAATAACTACCTCAGTACATACTCATCCATTCATGGCCATGGGGGGTGTAACCCTGTGGTCCAGGTGGTGTGACACACAGACACCTTGATAACAAATCAGCAGCAGCCTCACCTCAACCATGATTATTCATATTTCTGATTACAGTCCATTACACTGGTTCAATTATTTTCCCACAGGACTTTTTCCAGTTTGCCAGTGGACCTGGAGTCGACAGCACGCTGCGTAAGAGAGCGGAGAAGTTCAAAGCCCACCTGACCAAGACGTTTCGCTGGGATTTTGATGCAGACTTGGAAGACTGTGCCCCAGTGGTGGTAGAGTTGCCTGAAGGTGAAACAGTGGACTGAAATGGCTCTGCTTTGGGATTCATACTGGAATTATAAGCAGGGATTAGGATCCAAAGGTTCTCACAAGGAACGTCTGTGGTTTTCTAACAGTGTGTGTTAACAGTGCCATGTCGGGGTCATTGTGATGAAGAAAGCAAACATAAAACATCCTGTGTGTTCATAGTCAGAGCAGAATACAGTCACTGGTGCCCTCTGGTGGCTGTTTCCTTCAGACTCTTTGCTTAGTAGGTTTTGTTTTATAGCCAAATCTGCATCACATTTATTCGCAAAACCAATCTCATAGTAATTCTTTATTAATTTAAAATAGCTGTAGAGTTAATATACGGTAAGAATTATGAATAATGTTATACACAAACCCTTTATCGTAATCAGTCATAGCACACCTAATTTTTCACCAGAGCTGCCAACAGTAACTGGAGGAAAGAACTCAAACTACATCCTGTAACTTAACATTACAAAAATTATACAGACGATGTAGATGGTTTGTTAGAAATGAATAAAAGTGTAGTACTGGTTGAGTGTAGTGATTTTGTCCCTCATGTATTAAAGGTAAATATGCTTTTATGTTGACAAGAGCATTGCTTTGTGTTGCCACACTGGAAAATGGCAGTCATGGTTTGGAGAATGGTACCTTAGTCAGATATAAAGACCACACCTCCGCTGTGGTTTTAATGGCTTTATTGGATCCAAAATGTCCTTTTATAAATATAAAAACCTTGATAGAAAACTCCTGTGTATTTCTTCCTGTTAGTGCTGTCTACTCAATGTGAATGCATCTTTCAATGCCTGTCAGGAGTGTTCCACTAGATGGCATCCATGGGCTTTGTGGGAAGATTTACAACTTCATCTTTTATTGTAAATGTACAAATGCACATTCACACAGACTGAAAGGCTGCTGCTGTTTCTGGTGCTGGGAAGACTAGGTTCTGGTTGGAGCTGGAAGTAAGAACTGTGTACAACACAATGTCAGGGTGGAAATGATCTCTAAGCTTTTCACTGATCCCAACAATCCCACATGATTTGTGAGAAATAACAGGTGGAGGAATAAGTATATGGTGCGATGGATCAACTTAGTAACACAATTACATGCCATTATTTAACTGTGTGTATGTTTGGGGGTGTTGATTGACTGTGATGGATGGGGCAGGCCTTGTGTAAGCCTGTTGGTCCATCGGTCCATTCACTCATTAGTTTCTCCCCTGTCCCCTCTGAGCTTTGTTTCTCTCCAGCTGGACTTCTTTGCCTTGAAATCCCCCGGCTCCATGAACCCATCTATAACCATACAGCCGCTGGGAAAAGGACTAAAGTCAGTTAGTGTAATTGTCTGAATCAATAGTGTCTGGGCCCATTGATGGAGATCCAAATGCCAGTATAAGCCATCTTATTCTCTTCCCAGAAGACAGATGCTATTGTGAAATTGATGTTAATGCTGGGCTTTATGGAGAAAACTCCCCCATTTGCAAATTTACACACATCTTAAGTAAAGATCAGTCGTGTTTGTGGTCCTCTGTGAGACGGCTGGGGCCCTGCACTGGTTGTTATTTTCCTTTTGAATGCAATTAGAAAAGAGAAAATGGCTTGGAACACATGGTGGAAACATAACAGCAATTATTTGTAGATTTATTTAGGTCTCTGGGGAAGAAATACTATACATTGTCAGTGAAAACAGTCTCAGAAAACAA